CTGGACATAAGGAAGAATTTCTTTCCTGTCCGAGCCCCCAAGGTCTGGAACAGCCTGCCGCCGGAGGTGGTTCAAGTGCCTTCATTGAACACCTTCAAGATGAAACTGGATGCTTATCTTGCTGGGATCCTATGACCCCAGCTGACTTCCTGCCCTTTGGGCGGGGGGCTGGACTCGATGAACTTCTGAGGTCCCTTCCAGCCCTGATGTCTATGAAATCTATGAAATCTATTGAGGGCAAGTCACCGAGCTGGCAGCTGCGCTGAGGTCTGAACACGGGATGCTCTGTGGTTCCTTCTCTCTGGTGGCAGTGAGTTCCATAGTCTAGTTCCAGTTCCCATGACCATTGTGTCTCCTGGCTGCCCTTAGCTGTACACAGTGTCATTGTCCTTGTGATGTGTAGCTCTCATAAAAGTCCACAATCATGGTAGTTTGGACTGGTCCCTTGGAGACCTTTGAATATCAGAATGGAGACCTGCACTAAACTCTGCGCTCACTGGGGAGCACCGCACACCAGAGCACTGGGGTGATGACAATGACATCGTGTAGCACTACAAAGAGGAGCTTCTGGGCTCTGTGCCACGTGGAGCTCTTTCGGGGTGGATGGCTTCATTTCTAGACAGAAAGATGTGCTAGATCCTGTATGGTAGAGGCATGAGTAAGTCACAGGCAGCCTGTAAAGGGGTTGGAGCGCTTGCCACATAAGTAAGTCGCAGAGATCATGTAAGAGAGGTTAGAATGCTGACCACATAAATCCTGTCAATGAGCCTAGCAGGCTAACCACTTAGGTAAGGCATTGAGATAATCTAAGAAACTCTAGAGGGCTGACCACATAAATAAAATCCATTAGAGCGGCTAGAGTGCTGACCATAGAGCAACTTGAAGGATGGGTAGAGCACCAACCACCCTCAAGATGCTCTAGGACAGTGGTTCTCAACCTTTTTTGTACCAGGACCCATTAGTAAACATCCATGCCAAGTCCCAACCCAGTGCCCCTCACTCCCAACCCCCTGACCTCCCCCCACCCAGGGTTTGGGATAAGGGGTGGGTGTATGGGGCATGGGGGGACCCCAAGCAGCCCCTTGCAGGCTGGATCTCTTCCAGGCTGCAAGGGGAAAGCCACAGTTTCCCCACGTTTTTTCTCCTTTAAAGGAAGAATCCATTTTTAAAGTTTGTTGATCTACTTTTCAAGTTTGTCTGCGATCCTTTCACCTATTCTTGTGACCCACTTTGGGGTTTGACCCACAGGCTGAGAAATGCTGCTGGAGGAGAGGCTACAGCATGCTTGAACCATAGAGAAGCCATGCGAAGGGCTAGGATGCTGACCACATGAATAAGCCCGAGAGGGCTGCAGTACGGACCACAAACCATGAGAGACGCCAGAGCACTGACCCTTTACCTAGGGCAGTTACAGTGGAAAGCCAAAAATGGAAATGAGCAAAAAGCAGCTCTGACATCTGGCCATTTAAATCTTACCTGCTTGAAGTGTTCATGTTTTTCCTGTGCAAAATGTGTGCGCGTGTCTGAAAAAAAGAGGGGGGGAAGGGCATTTTTCAGCAGATTCACATACTCCCAGCACCTGGTTGACCTTGGTTTAGCTTCACAGCCACCAGACGTCTTATCTCCACATCACATTTAGCTCTGAGCACAAAACCATTTTGGCTTCCCCCCGCATTCACTGGCTCGGGGACCGACAACATGGTGTTACTTCACCAGACAAGCTAATTTGTTCGCCTTCCTCTTGCCATAATGCATGAAGTACAGCCTGCTTCCACGTCTCGCTGTTTTAAACTTCCAGTGTATTTCAAGGGTTAATTCAGGTGTCTTCCCCCCCATCTCTGTTTTTCATTTCCTAAATTAGAGACCCAGCTTCCTAGGAAGGAATAAAGGGAAGGGGAGAGCAGGAACAGTTATGCACTATCTTCTCTTTATTTCCATGATTGGTGAAGGAAGAAATGGGCTGTGGATTTGTGCAGGAGCCAAGAAGAAGGGAAACAAAAAGAGCAGCCATACATTCAGCTATTAGTCACATCTCGTCTCCCAGACTTAGCATTTTCCTCACACCTGCTTTCAAGGTTGCAGTGTCTGAGGGCACCATAAAAACCCTTTGATTTTCTGGAGCTGCGGGCTTTCCTTCTGCTTTGGGCAATACCCATGTGATCTGGCATGTTTTAAATGGCTGCGCTCCTGCCAAAAGAGCTGGTGGGCACTGTGGCTTGGCTGGCTCAAAGCAGCAGTTTGCTGCCGGGGGTGGAGGAGTGCGGGACACGACGGATAGTAGGGGCTCTGCTTCACAAGCAGGAGAACGGAGGCAGTCCCAGAGGGAAGCTCTGGGAGGGGATGGGGAATTCATTCAGGCATGAGGTCTTCTTTCTGCCCTTCCAACCTGCACAATAAAAGCCTGGCCCAAGGCGTGGGCTCAGCTGATGATCCTGAACACGGGGACCCAACTGCAATGGGAACCCTTCGCGTGTCTGCCAGCGAGTGCTCCCGTGGCTCTTCGATGAGAATGATGCTTCACAGAACCCCATCTTGCACTGTCTGGTCTTTGTTTTACAAATGGGGGGAAACTGAGGCACAGAGAGGGGATATGACTTGCTTAGCTGCAGAATGGGCACTAGAGCCCAGTAGTCCTGGCTGCTACCTTCTCCTCCCAGTGCCTCTCCAGGATTGGGAGAGTCGCTTTACTGGACAGTTAGTTTTCTGCAGGCATGTGTTGGGCTTTCGAGACCAGGCTGGCACGGAGGGGGCAAATATCTTTACCGCCGTGCACCTCCCTACCCGCTCAGACCTGCTGCCTCTGCTGCTGCTGCTGCCTCTGCGGTTTCTCTTACCTGCTCCAGGAGGCCAGGCGCCTGTTTGACGAGCGAGATGCAGCAGGCAGGATGTCACCTCAAACCTCAGAGAGGAGCGGTCGCCAGGGGAGGGGGAGGATTTGCAAGTCACTGTATGTAAACACGGGCGCTCCTCTCCCAACCGTCCGCTTCCGCCGCTGCACAACTGTACGCGCACCTCGGCCTCACCTCGCACCGAGCGTCTGGGGGCAAGTTGGCTCTTGCCAGCTGCTCTGCTCCTCCTGCTAGATCTTGCCACCGGCCCCTGGCAGAGATCTGATGGGCTCCCACACAGGGCTCATCCTCATCCAAGGATGTTGCTTGGGGCTGAGCTGCCTTGCATGGCATGAGAGCCCCTGGGGAGTCACGCCAGCAGTGGGAAACACTGGGAAACTGGGAAAACCATCTGCTCTTGCTTGTGCGCGCGTGAGTGCCATGAAGAAGTCCAGGTGCTGCTGCAATAGCTAACGTAAAATATGGCCCTCACCAACACCCAAACACTGACTCCCGTTCTGGGCACATCCCACCTGCCAGCCTCCCTGCCCTCCCTGTGAGGGTCAGCAAGGAAAAGACTGCGCCCCAGACTAGGCAGCCCTTCTAGTTTTGCCAGGATAGGTCTTCGCCACCCTGCTGACCAGGTCTCAGCGGGAGTCCACTGATCAGCCAGAGAGCCACTGCCTGCTGGCCTTCCCCTTGTGTCTGATCTGCCACCTCTGGGATTTTAGGACATGGCTTTAGAGAACCACTTGGGAGGCATTGGTATAAAGAAGGAGGCTGCCCCTTAGGTCTGGAGCAGAAGTCTGGTGCCATTCCCGTCCTGCGTGCCTCTCAGGGTCCTTGAAAGAGAGTCTCCCTGCCTGGGGCTGTCCCTTCCTCTGTTGGCCCCTGCTCCTGCTGCTCAAGGAGCTCCCATCTTCCCACCTGAAGATGTCTGAAGAAAAATCTCTGGCTCCTTAATCCCCTGGCAGCATGCCACTTCATGCCCAGCCCCGGCTGGCTTGGGGGGCATGAAGCCCCGGCTCATAACACAGATTTACCATCCACCGGGCTGTGCCAAAACCTCTCTGGGATCCTGAGGAAGGAAAGGTGTTTTGTGCCTATAGTAAGGGCCAGGGTAACCCACAGCCCTGGGCTCTGCTTTCAGCTCTCAGCAGGACTGTGGGCAGGCCACTCCCCAGCGCTGTGCCTCCATTTCCCCAGTTGCAGTAGCTGGCTTGGTTCTCACTTACTGCTCTCCAGCAGCCTGCCCCATGGAGCAAACATCGTGGCCTGCTCACTGCCTCATTAATCCTCAAAACAGCTCTTTACAGCAGACAATACCCCGGCTTAAAGATGGGGAAACGGAGGCCCAGACCACATGCCTGGTGTCATGGATAAAGTCAATGGCAGGGGTGGGATCAGAATCTGAGAGAGCTGCATTGTCGGTAGGCTTCTCCGTGGCACTTATCACCTGATACTAATCCTTCGAACACTGCTGTGAGATCAGGAAACTGAGGCACACAGAGGTTGGGAGACTCACCCAGTCAGTGTGTGGGACAGGGCCCAGTGCCCTTAAGTCTCAGTTCAATGCCTGAACTTTAATGCCGCCATCAGCTGCCTCTCCACCATCTCCCCTTTTTGATCTCACAAAATATGGTCTAGGGTTACCGTTGTTGATCAAATGCTGATCCTCAGGGGGGGTGAAAAATTCAGTGACAAATAGCAGGCTCTTGATTACAAGCACCCAAGGCTGTCCTAAGTCTGAACAGGGTTGGCCAGGGGCCAGCGTTCACCAAATGTCCATTGGCTTGCACCACTGATGCAGCAGGGACTCTCACCATTTGGCCAGTGAGGACACCGAGTGCTGAGGGTTGGTTTCCTCTGGTTTCTACATGATCATCACCTGCAGCCCGTTAGCAGCAATGATGCAAGTTGGGGTGGAAATGAGCTGGGGCAAGAAGGGAGCACCTGAAGGGTGGCCCAACATGTGGCTTCTGAAGGACCCCTGTATGGACTACGGGAGGGTAGGAGTTTTGCTCCACTAAAACAAGGAGCAGGAAGACTGTTTCCTGACAGTTTGAGGCACTGTCAGCAGCAGACTGCAAGGGATCCCGTGATTAGCTTGCAACCCGCCAACCTCGACTCCCCGGAGCCTTGTCTGGGACTGGAGCGATGTACTTGGCTCGGAAACAATGTGACAAATGAAATAACTTTCAAGATCCGGCTGCATCCTCATTTTGAATAGCAGAGGGGTAGGGGGGAAGTGGGCGGTGGAAGCCCAGCCCCGCAGCCACATATGGTGCTTTGCAGTGCCCGCCGTTGCCAGGTTCCTGTGTGCGGGCGATCCGCTGCAGGGCACTGGCATGCGGCACCTACACTGTGGCTTCACAGCTGCTAAGCAGCAATTGGAAAGTTGCTTGTTTTGTGTGGCATGTGCCCAAGTTGTGCATGCACTCACACACGCGAGGCACGCAGCCATCCCCACACGCTCAAATATACACACCCCATTGGCAAACCAGCACTCTCCCATGTAGCCTATGGCCACATCCCACCTCTGACACAAATGCATTTCATCCCTGCACACACACTCAACAGCCCTGACAAATGCACCTGCGTGCTTCCCAATACGTAGCCATCACAGCAAGTGCACACACTACACCGTGCGAACGTCACTCCTGCTGGCAGTGCGTGGACCTTTGGCTTTGCCTGCCCTGGCTGGTCCCTTGTGAGGGTAAGAGTCTACTACAGCTGCTGGTGTTACTCCTTTAGCTCAGGGAGTAGGTGAGGTGTGAGGCTAAATGCACAGGAGACTGGGAAGTGCCCAAGTGCTACAGTAATGGGTCTCACTGAGGACTTTGCATGCTAGCTCTATTTCCTCTGTCCCACCAACATCTTGGCTGAAGTCTGTGGATGCTTCTGTATAGCAGTATCCCAGGGCAGCAGCTCTACAGTCCCCGTGTGGTGGATCTCTGGGCAGGGCCTGGCTGCCGGGCAGTGGATGGGTATTGGGATCCTTGGGGCCCTGGCTCATTCCTCTGGGCTCATCTTCCTGGGCTCTTTCAGGACCTGACCTGAGCTCCCAGGGTTGATAGGGAGGGCAGCAGGGTGCACCGACGCTCTGTGCTCTGTGCCTCATGGCCCCGAGAGCCCGGCAGGGCAAGGGGCAAGGTTTGCCTGCCACTCTCTGCCTGTGCCCATGGTGCTTCAGAGAGGTCAAGCCAGGGCACCGTAGGGACCGAGCTCCCATGAGCTACCCGAACACTGGCTGCCTGAGCACTGGTGGGCTCCGGATCTGTCCTCAGCTGTCAGCAGCCGTGGGTGAGGTATTGTCTTGCTCTGGGCCCCACTCTTCCCATGCTTGCTTTGGTGCTAGGCAGGATCTGAATTGCGCTTTGACTCTCGCAAAAGAAAATGGGCTGCCCATCACAATGCACTAATAGAATCGGAGACCCCCCCAGGTTATGATTTTCAAATCTTGCAGGGGGGCTGCCCCCACCCCAGCTCCCCTGTAATTCAAACCCTGGGGCTAGGGAAGGGGAGGGGGCCAGTCTCCCATCACTTGCCAGGGCAGAGCTGGTGGCTTCCTACCCAGGGCTGCCTGCCACCTCATTGCAGCCCCATTGCATCTTGTCTGTTGTTTCCTTTGGGTGTGTGGTGGGGGGACTTTCCTGAGATACAGGAGGCGCAGACACATGCTGCCCCCCATCTCGTCATTCCTCACCATGGCAGCTTCCACTGGTGGCTTAATGTGGGTGAGGGCGGGGAGGGGAAGAAGAGCAGGAGGGAGGGGAGTCCCACCGATACCCCAGCCTGCTCCCACCCCTGGCATGTCCAGCCTTGCCCAAGCTGGCAAGGGGCAGAGCAGGGGACTGGGAGACTCTTCACCATCAGCCCTGAAAGTGTGAACTTTGTGGCTTAAAAAAACAAAAGAAAACAAAACAAGCGGGGCTCGGAGCAGCAGCTGTTCCTGTTTGCCCTTCTCCTTTCCTGCTTTTTTTCTTCTTCTTCTTCTATCGCCTCGACCACAGAGACGCTAAGATGGAGCTGGCTCCCCTCCCCTTTCGACTCATAACTAGCCCCTCTTGTGCAGAAGCACCACAACCAACCACCTCCACCGCAATGGTGACAGTGACAGCTGCAGGGTGCCCTCCCTCTCCCCCCCAGCACCCACTCCTCCCTGCTCAGGCCCCCCCAAGCTGCGATCCTCTGCAGCCCCCGGAGCCGGGGTTCCTCGCGGCCCCGCAAAGCTCCTCCTGACATTTGAAAAATGCCAGGCTCAGACAGGAGACGGCAGCTGCAGGGTGGCACCGGGCCAACTATTTCATTTTGGGTGGGTTTCAGTTTGTTTTCCGCCGCGGATGGATCCATGAATGAAAGGAGAAGCCTGGGCGCCGGCTGTTGGAGGTCATGTCTCTGCTGACGCTGTCGAGGGTCCAACGGGCCCAGGCTGCAGGGGCCCGCTCCCCCCTCGGCGGAGCAAGGCAGGAACTGAGTCATCGCTGCAGCGGGCGTTTCCATGGGTGGGATCAATGTGGCTGCGAGACCACGGTACCCACAATGCTTAGGAGACCTGGATGGCTCCAGGCAGGGTTGGGAGAGAGGAAGCACCCCTCACTGCTGGGTTCAAATCCAACAGGAGCCATGTTTTTTCAATGTAAAAATCATCGAAGAGCAGTCGGGCTGGAAAGGACCTCCAGAGTTCATCTAGTCCAACCCCCCGCCAGAAACAGGATCATCCCTATTCAAACCACCCTATACAAATGCATTGTCTAATGTCCTAATAACACTACACAGTCAACCCTGACACAACCACAGGGCACGCATAACACACTCACCTGCCGCAGGTAAGGCAGGGGCACGGTGGTGGCCAATGGCTCGCTCCTGCAAGGCGTGTTAAAATACTCTGGAGAGATACAGGGACATGCCAGCAGTGAGGGCTTAAGAGTGGCTTTGAGGATCAGCCAGTTTGAGATGAGCTAACCCAGCGTGAGTAACACAAGGGGGTCATGCAGCTCTGTAGGCCCAATGCATTGCATTGCCCAGGGCTCCTGGCAGCTCTCCATCCCTTCCCTGCTCCGGGTGGCCC